TGAAAAAAGTAGGCTTTCACTTTCCGAATGGGAATTATACGATTACGCATTCATTCAACAAAGTTTTTGCCGTGAGGCGGTTCCCGATTCTTATAGCTTTATCAACGTTGTGAATTTCAAATACAAATTCAAGAAGGGTGAAGCTTTGATATTATTCACTAAGTAAAGAACGCATGAAGTTCATCCTACAAGGTATCTTATGCTATTTCCCACTGCAGTGGGCAGTTATAAAATTCCAGCCGATGTTCACACATAGAAAGAATGATTCTGCACATCCTCTGCGACCCTCGCAGCACCCTCGGTTGAACATAAGTATGAACATGATGATTCAAACACCATTCTCATGTTCAAGCAAACATTGCATCGTCCAGATCAGTTTGTCTTCTACCGAAACATTTATATCCGCTTTGATCAAGCCAAAGAACACACCTTATCTGGAAAGTTGGATGAGTTAAATGGCAATTGTCAACACGATATGCATCCATCAAGTCAAAGATTTAAGCATATACTTTTATATTAATTTGAAGTGTCGTGTCCTTTGCTTTATCTTTTAATATTTTCTTTCAAGCTAGAAGACTGAAGGCCATCCATACTTTTATTATTTCCCCACAATCTATTTAAAACTAAAACTGAGGCAAGTTCAGGCAAGATAGGTGATATTTTTGTACAAAAAATAAAAAGAAACCAGAGGATGGAGTAAATTTACCTTGTCTAATGCTAGCCGCAGCAAAGGCGGTTGTCATCTATATAAGTGGCTTGGATACCCATCATCCATGAACCCACTGATACATCATCATGAGCATAAGTCTTCAATGATGCACTGCATACGAAAGGAAACAGAAATAAGTCCAACAAACTCACTCTCCCAAGCCACGTTGCAATAGAACCTAAGCATACTTGATAACATTGAGAGCCCTTTTCCCCAGCTATAGCACTCAGAACAGACCTGTTTATGTTTATATACTGAGCTAAGTTCTTGGATAGTATAATGAGGGAACCACCCGCATGTCGGAAGTACCTGAAAGGGAGAGGAATGGTAAGAATGATAAACCAAATCTACCAGTACATAGAAGTGTCAAATTTAAACAAAAATCTTCTTAGCCTGTCAGTATATTGTACATGTTTACCAGATATATACAGAATTGTCCAACTTGTCAATGTCTTTTAATATTAAGCATAACTCGCTCTTGGACAGTTATATTTCTTTCTCATGTCAGCATTAAAACAGTGAAACTGAGAATGTTTTATCCTGGACTAAAAGTCCAGACATGACATAATTCTACAAAAGATCACAGACAAAAACAATCTCTCTGTAGATATGCAGAGGCTCTAGTACGAAGCGAATCTTAGGCGATCAGATTTCTTTCCATCGTGACGATTAAAAAAACACTCAAATGACCTCCTTGTGTTGGCGCTTTACTAGAGCCAAATCGTGGGTGTGTGCGCACACATCTGGATCAAGTAATCAACACATAACCAAGTATTAAATGCCCACTAGATGTTCTTCCATAGGTTCGATCACTTACGATTTCTGATCCCCAAATTTCCACCAGTCAGGTTCATACCAAGACTTTCCCCTGCATATCAAAACACTTGTATAACCTTACAGACCACAAGATCTACATATATAATTGGAATCAATATCAAGTTGCACGAAGGTATAGGATGGTAAAGTATATACTCTTCAGCAATCACATCTCCTGACTTCATGCATCCGATATAAGCACCATCTTGAGCACGACGATGTTCAAGAAGTCCAATCAGCCCCTCTGTGTTTGGTCAAGAAAAGATATTTTAAATGATGTATGAAAAGTTCTGATGAATAAGTTGATTCTAGTCTTGAATGTTCTATTAAGTTTATCAGAGATTCAGAATCGAAGTTCTACCAAGATCAAGATTGATATTGTCATCAACTTTGACATAAAACTCAGCATCCCAATTCTGAACCGCAGTACTGAAGAAGAACTGTGCTTTCTTGGGCATCTCTTCCTGAGCCTCCTCATGACCTTCCTAATATGATAATGTTACAGTTTGAAACTATGCATTTCTCTTGTCAATAAAATCTAAGTTATCAAATATATAAGAGGAATCCTACAACTATAATTAGATGTTGAACTATTAGTTATTATGCATTAACAAATATTCAACGTAATAAACCACTTAGTACTACGGTCTAGTGGTATTTTTCTTCACTTATTAGTGAGAGGTCTTAGGTTCGATTCTCGCCAAAGGCGAATTTGATCCACATTATTACTAGTCCATTGTGAGGCTAGGTTCCCCCCCCCCCCCTCTCTCTCTCTCTTAGTGTAGATAATATGATTTGTTCAAAAAAAAAATTTTTAAAAATTCAACGTAATACAATAAAAGCCTAATCACAACATATGGACATAACTTCCACTACGCATCCAATAAACTGACTTCCAAAAATTTAGCTAAAGAATTTCCCCGCATACATTTATTTGGCATCACAAGTTATGTACCACAACATCACAATTGTGTGGCTACTACAGTCTTGGTTAAAGGATTGAACAGATGTGTTTTAGTAACCCTGAGATTGTATTGCTTACAATAATTAAGAAATCCTTCGTCGAACGACTTTCCTTATCAATATTCTGATCTAAGCTATCACCCCGATTGGCACTGCAAGTTAAAAGCACAACCACAGGTACAACACTTTAGTATAGTGACTCTACCAAGCAAATAAATGAATAATTAGAATCAGGAAAGCATAGTATTAATACTGAGATTAAAGTTCGAGGAAAAACCTCCGACCAATTACAAAGCGTATAACTACTCCTCTTTCTTCTAGCTTCCTCAAAGCATCACCTGCAAAGGCCAATAGGAATGTCCAATAGTTGTTAGTGAACAAGTTTAATTTTTCCTTAAAATGACCGCAGTAATCACGAATCCCACGAATCCACAATATCTACCACCTCAGCTACATACACGCAGGTGTTGTTGAACACCAGGTGTTTACCATGGTCAATTCAATTCAGTTAACCTGCAATTGCTGCCTGATATATCCCAATAACTACACCTAAATGATTGTCTTAGTATGCATATCTAACAGCTTTAACTTGATTCGTACCATACAACTTATTCTAGCATCCGTAGTGAAAATAGGCCAAGGGAGTGCCTGAATGAGCACTATGGGATTATGACAAATACCTTGACTTTCACAAAGGGACTACTTTAATAGGATGAAACTTAAAACTCAAACCAGAGGAGTCTAAGTAAAAAGATTGAGAATCAACACTTAATCTGAATTCAAGCGATGCCAGCATAAAGTTTAATCAGAGAAGGAACACATGGTAAATCTGTATAAATTGCCATCAGAAATTCCAACTGACCTTTGGGCATCCAAGACCCTCTAAACATATTTCGGTTAAAATGACTACCAAATCCAGTATAAACTCCAACAACAGCGAGCAATCGGCCAGATGAAGACACCTTTTGTTGCAAGTGGTTCTTGAGGTACCCTTGACTCTTGGCCAGTGTCAAGTCCATCTCAGCTTCCACAATCCTCCTCTCCAGGTCCCTATAAATCAGTACCATTATTACCGACACTAAAACTAGGCACAACTCAAATAAACCGAATAAAGAGAAATGAAAAGTAGGAGCATACTTGCATCCAAGCACTGCTAACTTGTCTTCTACCGTAAGAACCTTTGGTCTCTGAAATATTACAGAAGTAATATCGAATCAAAGACAAAATTCACCAATTTTCGCAATTTTTCATCTCGGCCGGTTGTTAACTTGGTGATCAAAATCGAAAAATGTAAAACTTTTACACTAAAGTTTGAAACAAAAGAGCAGCGTGCTCCACTCTACCCCCAAGTTCGAATCCCGCTCCCGTAGTTTATATTAAATAACTACAAAATATCGAATAAAAAAATTTCTGAAATCAAACCTGGCCCAAGTTCTTCTTTAGAAGATTAGAAAGCACTGTTCTGTTCTCCGCATCCTGCCACAACCTGCATTTCCCAAACAACAAGTCATCAACTTTGATAATTAATTACCATTAACTATTAACACGATATCGAACCACTAAATCGTATCAGATCAAACAGAAAGCTCAGGAATTTGAATTCGAATAGTAAAATTTGAAAATCAAGGCTGAAAGAGTCCAATATTTGGAAACAATTTTGAAACGCACCGGCCGGCGACGTAGAGCCAAGCGACACAGGAGAAGAATGCCATGAGAATGGATGGCTTGGAGGTCTGCAGGGGCTTCGATCGCCATCGCCGATCTGATTTCGTCGTCGTCGGCAAACCCTCCATCTCCGATTCCGAATCAGCAGAGAGGAGACCGCGAAAAGACTAGAGCAATGATTTGGGCGAGATATTGGAGGTGCAGATTTAGTGATTGGGACAGGGATTTATGAAACTGACGTATCATATTATATGCAGAAGTTGGAAGGCATATGAATGCTAAAATCTAAATTTTGAAATTTCGGAGATAGAGAGAGAGAGGTTTGGTTGGAAATTTGGAGCGGCTACATTTTAGGGCCGACGACTTAGGTCTGGGCTTCTGAGTGGTCCAGTTCAGTTTAATGTTGGGCCTCCAAGTTTTATGAGTTCATTTTTTAGAAGAAAATTCTAATTTTTTTTTTTTTATGTATACGATAATCTACGCTTTACATTAAGAGGAGGAGAGAGGTTTGAACCCAGAATGCAACGGTTTGAATTTGAAGAGAAAAGTTTTAACCACTAAGTCAATTCACCATTGCTATATCCTAAGTTATTTTAATTTACATGGAAATTGATCCAGACTTTGGATGGCAGGTACAGTCCCACTGCCTTGAACTCACATATCATAGTGCGCTGCAGTGCTCAACATATGCAAGCCGGACAAGAAGCGGTGTTTTTGGTGGCAAAAAATAAGTAAAGCGTAAGAACCTACTATTGGGAGTAAACAAGCCCGGATATTTCACATCTATTTCTGGTAAGTAAATGCGTTATAAAAGTAGAGAGTTTAACACCTAATGTGATACTGGACGTCTGCCAAACATTATTCTCATTGACTTGCAAGTGGAGTAAGCAAAAATTAATAACACTGTTAACTACAACCGGCTGGTTTGTCCGCAGCACAAGACTAAATCGTCAAAACGTTTATAGAATCAAAGACGACGCTAAAGCATCAAATACAGAAACATCACGATCATAGCCGAAAGAGAAAAAAAAAGGCAGACCAATTCGTAATATTTCTTGGAATTTCTTTCGTAACCATAAAGATACAGTCTCCCTAGCTTCTGAACAGGAAAATATAAGTCCTCCATTGCAGAGAGGGTTCCTACTTCTCCATCTTTCTCTAACTCCTCGCGGCACCAGGTAACAAACTTGCCAGCGATGGAACCCCTTGGTTTCTCATTTCTTCTTGTGTTCGCCTCATTTCTTCAGGATCTGTGGTCAACATAAAAGATACTTATTGAGGAACTCTTACAAACGTATACTCTACCAAAGTATACTACCGTAAACAGGCATGACAAGACAAAAAAAGGGGATGAATATTAAGGGCATTTGTAATATCAACACAGATGGCATTCATTGGTATCATTGGACGAGATGAAACCACAAGCAATCCACATACAGAAGTAAACAATCAGAAGTTAAAAGGTAACAATCAAGTACGTTTTAATTATGTACAGTCATCTAACGAGTAATAAGTCAAAATTTGAGTAAGGTAAGAAAATATGTTTTAACTATATGCCCTAGCTCTCAGAAAAGAATTCAGGCATGCGAGTTCATATGGATTATATTGATGAAAGTAAAATCTAAAGCAAATCAGAGCCTTAACCCCACGGATGGAATTTAAAAACCTATACCAAGCATAGATCACTTACCCATGTTCTCCACTAATTTCGGCATAAGAAACACGACAATTAGCATAAATCCAACCATCAGTCCCATGGGGCTCTTTACAAGAGCCATTATGGAGAAGGGTTCTCTTATCTGCAATGAAACAAACATGACATGAGGTGAAAATTTCATAACGATACAGAAATGTGGTGAAACATATAAAGAAGAATGAGAAAATCAAAACCAACCTCATAATACTGTTCCTCTCTCAATGGCTCCAAAACAAACTCATTCAGTGGCCTCCTATTCTCAGTCAGTGCTGCCTGAACCTTGCCTGGGTTTCTAGCACTAACATCAACTCGGACCTTAACATTTTTACAAAAATGAAAACATGGGAATATCAGATTTGTGATAATTTCATTTCAAGAAGTATAAAAGAGGCGCTTATATAGAAGAGTCTCACCGGAGAAAAGAAATAGCCTATCGCAGACACTTCGATCAAATGAGTCCCCGCAGGCACATTATGGCTTTAAGAACACATGTTAAGGAAATATGGTATACATATACATGATACACAAGGCAAATACAAAGCATCAGAAACATACTTATCAAGATAACCAAATAGGATACAATGAAAAAAATCCATCAGGCCTCAGAAAGGTAACACTTTGACCACCATTTAGTATGACTTTGATATTTGATATCTTTCCGTAAGGTGCAAACCCTTTCACCCCGAGACCTGCATACAAAATTTGTGAGTTATACACACCAGGATGCAACGTAAAACAACTTTTTGCTTGGAAGAAATTAAAGTTCAATATGGGTAAGTTAAGTGTAGAGCGTAATTCAGACTACTAACCCTCCTAGAACTAACACAAATTTAGCTAGCAGTCCACACTGGAACCACTCAGCCGTAAAAATCCTTAGCATCACAAACTACCTGAACCGATCAAATTAACACGAAACCAGTCCTATTCCACAAGCCCTAATCAGTTTACATCTATCTCCTCATCCCAATACAACAACAAAGCAATCAAATTTAAGACCTTTCACAGCCTAACCCTTCCTTTTGAATTCGGAATCAAACTTAAGACTTTTCACAAACTACCCGAACCGATCAAATGAATTTATTTGTTTCAATTAACACGAAAATTTCACCAAAAACTGCAATCTAAATCACAAATTTCAAACTTTTCTGTAAAAACAAAAGGGTAAAAAAATACAATCAACAGGAAGGTAAATTCAATTGAAAGACTTACTGGGTGGGATCTTTACTCGGCCATGAATGGTGTATCCATCGGCAGAGCTGCAACAGATAATTTAATTAGAAATTTGAAGAAAATTAATTTCGAAATCGTTGATGCATCGTAGTTAGTTTGGGTAAAGAGAAGAACTTTTCAATCGTACCCGGGAGAAATTGCGAGCGACGAAGAGATGAGCGAAAAGCACAACTGTAGGAAAAGCACGAGAACCACCAGATTGGATCTCCAGCTCCGCGCCATAACGAAACACTGAGAGAGCTTTTGCGAGAGTTTCAGAGTGTCTGTGTCACAGAGAGAGAGAGAGAGAGAGAGAGAGAGAGTTGAGAAGGATCTGGTGTGTTACGGAATTTGCTAAATTGTTGTAGCCGGCGAAATCAGGTCCGTACTTGTTTACTCTGATTGAATCCGTATTGTGCAGTGAGTTCTTCTACATCGCAGCAATGAAAACACGCCACGTGTTAATCATTCGAAATCCAACTTTTTTGTTATTCTTTTTTGCTCAATGTAGGTGACATGGCAAAAATTGTACACAAAAATATATATATATATATATATTTTTTTTTTTATAAGTACCCAAAATATTAAGTAGAGTGAATTATCCATAAAAAATTATGGCTTTGCCACTTAGTTGTTCAAAATATAACAAGTAAAGACTTATAAGTAACAAATAAGATGTGTAAAGATAATATCCAACATCCACCATTTTATTCACTAATAAAGTTTTACTCGTCTCGTTATGAAAAACTAATGTTAGTTACTCTTGTCAACTTTTCTTCTAATGTGCTTATCGGTTTGGAATTGATAGATCCATTATGATAATGATCGACTGATTCAGGTAAGACTTTTAGTAAATCAAACAGAGTCAATAAACCTAGATTATGATCTTGGACTTGTTTTTCAATTGTTCTTGCATTCAACTTGATATATTGAAGATGTAATTACTTGTTTTGTTCTTGAGAGTCGATCATGACTTTAGACGAGCTTCAAAATCAAGCCTTTCGTTAACAGTTGACTTGCTAACAAGTGTTTCAAATTCGGGTTGGCCATTCTCCACCCGCTAGCAAACGCTTTGTTAACAGGTCCACCCGCTTACAAAATGATTTGTTAATGATGACCCGTTAACAACCCAACTAACCATTGCCAGAGTGCGTGAAATGAGATTTTACTTTGAACCCACAATGGTTTATTACACTTCAGGGCTCCACGCTCATTGCCCATGATGGTGAAAAAACAGGTATGATAAAAAAAAATTATATTCAGTGCCTTCTCTCCCTCTCCACAAACCAACCGACCCATATTGAAGACAAACTTTCCTGCTCGTAAACTCAACAACTTGAAGTCCGTTCAGAACGGAAGAGAGAAAACGGCCCCATAAAAGAATCAGGCTTCCCAACAAATCAGTCTTCGATAAAATGCTATAATCCCAACTTTTTCGAGCACCAATCCGAAAGGTTAGCTATTACAAATCCTGCAAATACCTGCAACATGCCACAGAAGCAACAAAAAGAGTTCATAGATGCAACAGGACATAAGTTCGAATACGTATATTGCTAGTGAGAGATCATTTTCTCCGAAGGTGAGTGTGAAATGCTGAAACCAAGCGCCTTCTGGAAAAAAGTTTTACAGAGGTACTTCACTAGTAACTACGGATGCTAAATAATTCAAAAATATAATGCTTATTCATGAAAGCATCATACCTGAGCAGAACCAAGTATGTAAACTACTGAATAATGACGGCCATGGATGAACATGTCAGCAACCATAGCAAGGGGGATGGTGAGCGACATGCCCAAGGTGGCAACGAGTGGAGTTGTCCACACAACACATAGTGCCCTGTCAGAAGTTTTTACTTATTGGTCGAATAGAAAAGCGGAAGATTAAAACAAGAAGTCTGTGAAAACGCAAGTGTGAATCGCAGATTGAAAATTGATTGTTTAAACATACCAGAAGTAGTCGGAGAGTACACTTCCAATAAAGCCGTTGGCAATAACAACTTCTTCCAATTTAGCAGAGTGAGGAATCATAAACTTGGGCTCAATGCCCAACGCTGTCAACGGCCAAACTGGAAAATAAAAGAAAAATTAGAGAAAATAATGATTCAATCAAAGAAGTGATGGATTGCCTTTCACTTTCATGTTTCCACCAAGCTAGCATTGTGCCTTGCTTGATTTCTGGAAATCAGAGTCCGATAGGAGAAAAACTGAAAGGAATCATTAATACTTAAGCAACACTTACTAAGCCACCATAACGATACAAGTGTAAACAATCCAATATACCCAAACAACTTTTGCACGTCAACCCTTTCTCCTCCTTCGCCCGCAAACTTTTTAAGAAGAACTGTAGCATTGAGAGTAAAATGAATGTTAATATTATTGTCAAAAGAATCTAAGAAAAATTTGTGCCAAGGAGTAAATGAAAAAGGATATCTCCCAACCGGTGAATAGACCATATGACATGGCTGAGAGAAGACCAAACATATCTCCAACAAGAGAGCGTTTCCCGTTGCTGAACAAAAATATCAACTGTCAATCCCAAAACACGCATTACAAAGAGCAATTTGATATTATATAATGGCATTGTTATGAAAAAAGAGATCTTTTTTCTTCCATAAAAAAGAAACAAATATAATGTAAGTTATGATAAATTTGACGTAGACAACAGAGATCAACTGATTAAACATACGCGGCACTCAGTTGTGACTCATCCGTGGCCCATGTTTTGCCCAGAGTTGTCATAGCTACACCAGCCATGCTAACAAAGACAGCGACCACCTTTGCTACATTTAAAGAATCTTCGCCCAAGAATGCACCTACAAAAAGAGTAAAGAGTCCTGACTGTCGAGGATAATACTGTTGTACTTGCAACACTTGTACGCGCGAGAGCAGCATTTGAAAAATACTGAAACAATAAAAAATAATCAATAAGAATTTTCTTGACATCCTTCACAATAATTTTGAATTATCAATTCAAAGAAACATATCTCGGACTCAACAACACCTAAAAGTCAATGGAACTATATTCTTGAACAAAGTAGCTTTAGGAAGTTCCTTACCTCCGTAATAAACCAGAGAGGGGCAATGTAAAACCCATAAGTAGCAATTTGCCTCGTAGTAACCTCTTTATCATGTTTCAGCACATTTAAATCATCTTTGTATTTAGAAACCAAAGCCTGTTCTTCTGCATGAGGTGAAAGGTCTGCATCACTGTCTTTTCTGGTCAAGGACCCATGAATTTCCAATTCAAAGTCTTTCACTCCATTGAGTTTTAGAGTAGAACTAAATCCAGCAGAAAACTCATTCATGCTGCTTTCTGCATTTTTACCACTTTTAGAGGAGCGGCGTTTTAGAAAATTACACAACCAATCCTTAATGAATGCTATTGGGATGTAAACTACCATAAGAGAAGCTCCAAGATATGTTACTGCAAATGGCTGCTTATAGTCCGTAAATATACCCTGCAGAAGTCACAATATTGGTCAGCTAGAACCAAACTGTGCACAGTATTATCAAATATATAGGTAAAGACAATGCGCCATATCAAAGAACTGAAACAATAAATTTCTATACCGCATGACAAATTTGCAGCTTAAAATCCGACTATTCAGGTAGATACAGTTGAAGCAATTAGTTACACTCACAATCATCTGCTAAAGGGGTTCAATTCACCACAGCTTTTAGGAAGCAGCTCGAATTTTGAGCTGCATTGATAAGTGCATTATTTCCTATATTTTTATGTCAATTATCCCTAGGTTTTGTTAAGAAATTGATTTTAAAAGAGCCTTATTACTTCCTTTGCTTAATTTCAGCTAATCTGTGCACTTAGAACGTTTTTGGGGATAATTTGACTTTCCGGAGGAGTTTTGATGTAAGGCCAATTGGAGGAGAAAGCTAAGAAGCTGAAAATCGTTGTGTCCAACTTTCATATTTTTCCATGGAGCCAAACGCTCCACTTTTGTAAATCATTCCCGCAGAAGTTGCATTCCCGTCAGAACTATGCAGCTGTGGGAGAACGAAAATTTGGAGGCTTTTTCGATTTTTCCTAGTGACGTGCGATATATGCGTGGAAAGCTTAAGACATAGAGCTATAATTTCCTATTTTTCCAGAATTTTCCAGAAGCTAAATCGAACCCAAAACTGGCGTGCAACATAGGTTACGTGCTTCCCAAAATTTCCTAGTTGGTGTCATTAATTGTTTAGGAATTTGTTTTGTTTTTGGAGAGTTTCTACCGGATCTTTTATTGTTTTTCTAGTATAAATAAGGCGTCATAAGCTCTCTCTATGTATGACCGCAACCACATACCACACCATTCACCATCACCGCAATTCGCGAAGAAGAGTTTAGGGACGTGCCTTGCCATGGATTCCTCGTTCTATCTTTCTTTTATTTTTATTTATATGTGTAACTAAGTTATTTTCTAAAGTTTATGATGAAGCCATGAAATGAGTATTTATGCATATTTGATTCTTTGGTAATTGCTATTTGATTCTTTGGTAATTGCTATTTGATTCTATGTCATTGTATATTCTTAATCTTTATGCATATTTTATTCTAGATTCAGATTTCTAATGATTGATCACGATTAGGAATTTTGCATCTAGATACTTAGAAAAATCAATTAGGTTTACTGGAATTAAGATTAAGAAGAGTAGATAAACCAGCAAGGATAACCAATATCAAGCTAGTCCTACTTGGTTGACATAACTCTTCTATGGAGTTTTTATGTGTTTAATTGTATGACTAACCAATAGGATTTAGGTTATCATGTAGAGATACACATGTTGATGGCTGACCACATGTTACCTTAGAAAGAACAACCTTTAACATTGGCATGGTAATGGGATAGTAGTTCGCTATAGGAAAAGTAAGTATGATTGTTGTTGGTTGATTCATAACTTAGACTTCACTGTTTCTCAAATTATTATTCTGTTGTGTGTTTATTTTAATTAATTGTCTTTTACTTTAATTGTTAATTTTAGTCTTAAACAATTATTCAATTCAATCTATCCTTTATTTATTTGATTAAGTCTAGTGTGATTAGTCAGTTAAATTAGTACTAAAGAAATCCATGTGGAATCGACCTCGCATTTGCATATCTTACTACAATTGATTCGTGCGCTTGTGAGTTTAATTTGGTTTAAATTAATCTAGTATTTAGGTTAGTTTAAATGCACATCAAGCATCACTTCCCCCACGGTCAAAGATGATCAAATAGTCACAATTGTTTACTAATAGAATTGTATTTGGCCACCACATAAACACCAAGCTAAATTCAAGAACAAAAAAACAAAGTTTGGCTTACCAACTAATCAATCAAAACTTTCATTACTAAGATTGAGATGAGAGCATGGAGGCTCAAAAGCAGTTAAACATAGAATGTTCAGATTCAACTCAGTCTTAACCAACTAAGCCAAGGCACAAAACTCAAAAAAGGTTCAATCTTGGTGCGCATTTCGCGTCCTTCAGTCCCTAAGGCACCACAGATAACTGCGCTTATGCACTTGAATGCTATTTCTGTTCTGTTCCAGAATATGCTATATTTAACATTTCTAACGGCTGTCCTCCAACAAAACCTTTGCTTTTCGCTATGCTGGTTAAACCCAGAACCATTAGTTATACCCCATGGTTGCAATACATCAAGGGGACGAAAACGAAGGAAAAGAACAACCTTTACTTACTAATGTTTTGATCCCTACTAACTCATGAACAACTAAACTAATATCTTCACTATGTTTCCTCTATGGGTGAAGCACTACGACGTCGTCTTAAACAAGTTCAAGCTAACATTCAATCTTCTAATAAAGTTCATCACTTGGGTAAATCCTTAACAAATTCCAATCATTTCCAACCCAAATAACTCACAAAACCCATCCGAAAAAGTCAAATCAGATACAAAATGCATTACCATGAATCAAATTTGACCCAAAACTGTAAAATTAAATTACTAAATTGCATATTTTCAAATTTGGAAAGAGTAAAAGAAAGGACAAACCTGGGTAACTTCTGCAGAGGTGACCCAAATGACAACAACAGCAGCAATTAGGAACAACCCAGCTCTGTACCTCCACTCCATCATAAACCCAGCAAAACCCAGATGGACAAATCAGAGGAATTTCAAAGATCTGATCGGTTGGTTGATCCTCCTCCCTAGATCTTTGATATTTTGGCCCTGTCACCGACCTATAAGTATTGAGAATTTGAGATCTTGAGTGCTGGGTGACAGGGTCTGGCGTGTATATAGGTGAGGAGGAGAGAGAAAGGCCCGGATGGGGCGGGGCTGCTCGTTTTCTTGCAACAAAATGAAGAAATCCGGAAACTTTGGGAAGAAAAAGAAGGGAGAGGGAAGTTAACCAAAATAGAAATAAAACTGAAAACGTTTTGGTTGTTATTATTTAAAACCCTCTCTGTTATATGTCCCGTTCTAAATTCAATTTTAATTAACTCCAAATTTTCATAATAATTAGCGGGGGAAAAAAAAACGTTTTTCATACTAATTAACAAAAATTGTTAATTAGTATAATCTTTAACAAAAATTAAAAAAATACTAATTAACAAAAATATTATTTTTTATACCATAATCTTTAAGAAAGTATCTGCGGAGGGGTTAATTTTGTTGAGGAAATTTATTAAAACTTAATTGGGTATTTTTGATAACTAAAGGATTTATACTACGTTCGCAACTTTTATGTTAAAAATGAAATTAGAAAGCTATAAAAGAAAATATTTATAAAATAATAAGGTTTTTTTTCCAATAATATTAACGTTATTATAATTATTTTAAAGTTGTTCATTGGTTGAGAATTTCATGCTCTTTAACTCTATTTCCATCTCTTTCTTTCTCACTTTCTCATGTCCAATCAAAAATAAAGTTGAAAGCTATGGAGGACTTAAATCAAAAATAAAGTTGAAAGCTATACGGTGGACTGGTTGGATAGATTATGATCAATTACAATGGACTTAAATCAAGTTTTTTATTTATTGTGTCGAAATATGAAATAAATAAATCAGATATAAGGGATTATGAATCATTTGGATTATATAACCTATCTTTATGCATAGATTACAAATCTTATCTTACGTGTCCCTTCTAATCTAATATTATTCATAACTTTTAATCTCATTCAACCTATTAAATGGACCCTTATTGCATATTCCAAGTTCCCATAGGATAGCTTCAACTAGAAGAATCTGATTTTTTCAACACAAATGGAAACAAATTAAATATATGGGCAGGACTCCATATAAAATGAAGACGAAAGATACTCAGCAACAAAATCATGTAAATAAAATAATGGCAACACTTTTTTGAATTTTGTAGGTAGAAAAGACAGTATGCATGACAAAAGAAAATGGCATTTATAGAGAGAATGTTGTCATTTATAGAGAGAATATTGGCATTTTTAATAATGTTGCAGGCAGGAGAGAATATGAATATAAAATAGTAGACAAATATATTCTTCTTACCAATAATTTCAACGTGTACACAAATTTATCATGCATTTTTTACCTAGAAGATAAGTTACCAACTAAAGTCAATTCCTCTTCACTTATTACCAGCTGATTTTGAAGTTTGGATCCTTTTAGAGTATCTTTAAAGGAGGAGTCAACAATTTTATATTAGCAATAACAGTAAAACAGACAGCATTAGTATTTTTCAACCAAATTTCATTCCTATGTAGTATGATATGGATTAACAGTAAAGGTAGTTGCTGTCAAATTAACAACAATTTCAAATCTATTTTTAGTGATAAATAAATATTTTTGTTGTTATTATTTTTTTAATTCATAGTACAATATTAAAAGTAATAATGTAATAATAATAATTCAAATTTAACATATCGCTTGGTGAACAAAATTTAAAAAAAATCAAAGTATCACATAAGCATTCAAATTTAAATTTTATGTTTACAATTTGACATCTATTTTGGAGATGGTCTTATGTATTGTTGCCTATCAAAATGAAAACACAAGGTTAGACTGTTTTGTTTCTCAATTATTCTAATTTGTTCCTACGGAACCAAGGTCGAAAAGCTTGAAAAAAAATTAGTCATTCACAATCATTGGTGAAAAATTCCTCATAAAACTATAGTTCGTTTGGAAATATTTTTAAAATGACTGAAAGTTTTTTTGTAAAAGTGTTGTTAGAATCAATTCTTAGTAAAAACGCAAGTGAATCCTGAAAAGCACTTGAAGTGCTTCGTCGAAGAAGCACATAACTAGTGCTTATTCCAGGAAGCATATTAAGTGATTTTGGACCTAAAATTATTTTCTTTAAAAACGCTTTCAGTTATTTTGAAAGTATTTCCAAACAATCCCTTAAGAGTTAATAACTGTTTTTAGAAATCGAATAAATTCGATCTAATATACATAAAAGGATGAATACAATAGTAGTTACGGTAGCTTTTGCGGTAAGAAATGCCTTAAAAAATCAGTAACGTGTTGCACTTTGAGTTCCTTGCCTTCCAATCCATAGCAAGTCAACTTACGTAGTTTTGAATTTTTGAAATATATTTGAATCATTTTGTTACCTATATTCTAGCGAATTACAAGATTGAATAATCGAAGATGAATTACGAAAATTATTTCCCAGGAATTCAATGTCTTAATAGTTTTCTCATCCTTAATTGGGCTGGAGTTAACACTTTGAATTTTTGGGCATAAGCCTTTTTAGCCAAGTTTGATTTAAATATAATTTTTTAGAAAAATAATAAAAAGGCCCTCATAAAATAATTTTTTAATTAAAAACTCTTAGACAACTTTCTTTACAGACAACAACGCTTGCGCAGATTGGGATCGTATGAGATCAAAGCTAGCACAGGGGAGTGGAAGGTGGAGAGCACACAACATTGACTTATCGCTGGAAAACAACGTAAAATTCGATGGCAGGTGGGAGACCGTGAGGTGAAATTTTTACAGAGAGAGGACGGGTGGTTATGGGGCGATTCATAGTGGTGGGAGTGTTAGCTTTGGAAGTCGGATGGAGTCAAGAATTGATAGATTATACGGATAAACTAATTAAACTGAATCTTTTCCTAATGATGCAGAAATAGAACAATATCCACTATGTTTTGCATCACCATTACACACAACCTCTGGAAATCTTTTCAAACGAGAACTTGTCCCTTTAGGTGCTTCAGAAACCTTTCCGTCTACAAAGAATCCTTCTCTTTCATCATCAGTGTATGCATCGGCAGGAAGTTCGAGATCAAAGTTCTTCTGAAATTTCTTGCATTTGGATTCCAACAATTCAGAGTCTCCTGAACGGCCTTCAGATTGAGCTGGATAAGAGCATATCGGTATGTTCCTAACTCGAACAAAACATGAAGGTGACTGTATACTTTCAGCGGCTGAAACAGATATTTGAGTAGATGAGCTCCCACCCCCAGTAGCCAACAAGCCTCCGTCTTCAGCCGATGTTTCTCAAATTCATTCCTTCTTGTTTCATGCATTAATTTCCTTTGTCTTCCATAAAGCAGATGGAGGTCCTGAATCTGGATGGACGGAAGACATTTCTTTGGGTTCGTACCTCACTAAAAATACACTTATACAACGAGATTTTCGACCGTTGAATCGATGATCAAGAATTGACTGTTAAATCTTTGATCAAGAATTCAATAAACGAGATCTAAACTCTACACAATGATTTTCTACTACGGTACAAAATCCAACTTCAAGGTGATGAACCCCACAAAACCTCTGCAACAACAGAGGCAGCCTCTGCATCAGAAACAGAGGCCTCCCTCACTCTCCTCAATATTTCCATCTTAAACCCTCTTTTCTCACTCTGCTCCTCCAACCCCTGACCAACCTCCACCAGCACTGCGAACCCCGCTACGCACCTCGAAAAAGGAAACTTCCCCTCTCCTTCCTCCATTTTTGTCTCCAACCTCTGTAAATTCATGAGCTTCTCGATCAAGTCCTGCCCAAGCATCAATTCGATCACTTCCTCCCTCCCAAAAACGCAATTTCAAGAACGCAGTTCATCGCCGCCGCTCGAACCGCCATGTCATCAGCCCCCAGGAGGCTGATAATTCTTGGGATTTCTCCATTGATATCATCCACCAAAGGAGTTCTGATGATTTTCACCAGCCAAGTGAGAACTTGAATCGAACAGCTCGAACCCATTTGAATTAAAGCTCGAACGATCGGACCCATTAAAACCAATCCAACAAAAACATCTTTGTTGAATTGAACCAGAGCGAGAACAGCGAGAGCAGCCCGGTCTCGAACCCGATTTGAAAAACTTGAATCACAAGTAATAAATTCAAGAATTGAAAATACCTTTGCTCTCAGAATTAGTTCTTGGTAATCTTTATCGAATCCCTGGTTCAATCTGTTCTCTAAAATCATCAATGCGTTAACTTTCCAATCGTCCTCCGAATCCTCCTCCATCGTTTTCACGAAACCCCAGACGTTCTTCCGATCGATGTGCGCCTGAACCTCCGCTTCCACGGCGTACCCAATTTGGGAAATCTTGTAATTGGTGACTTGGCGGTGGAGGAGGGACCGGAGGCCGTAACCCTGCAGCTTTTGGAGCTTTTCGAGAAGGGTTTTGAGGTTGCTGAGCAGCTGGTTGAGGGTGAAGAGACTTGGGTCGCTGGAGATGATGGGGTCGGCCTTGGTTCCGAGCTCGAGAAGTGCCTCAATGGCGGCGTTGATGTCGTAGTTGTTGTATATGATTGAAATAGGGTTGCTCTGTAGGTCTTTGGAAGCTTTCTTCAGAGATTCTAGCAGCGGATGAACGTGGTGGTTATCTTGCTCCTCCGTGGCGTCGGCCATGGTTTTGGTTTGCTTGGGTTTGAAGTTCTGTGAGTTACAGGTGTTGGTGAAAGAGCCTGGAACTACCAGTCAATGAAGGGCAGGAGCCGACCAACCGTTCAAACCACACATATGGGACTTACATTAAATTTTGAGTGCAATTAATTACTACTTATTTCCGTGATTATTTTTCAGTAAAACCAATCTGGCTGTCCGATCAGACCAAATCAATCTGGCGGTGTAGGTTGTAAACTAAAAGGTTGGAATTAAAATGGAGTTTTAATTGAATGGAAATTAAAATATTAAAAAAAAAAAATGGTATGATGCGGGAGAGAGTGGAGTGAAAAAATGCAAAAAATTTCTGTGCAAAATTTATTTATTGCTCATAATT